CCCCAGCGGGGAGGCGGGGGAAGCCCCTCTCTCCCCAGGGCAGCCTGCATCCCACACTCCCCAGCCCCACCCTACAGCCCACACTTCCAGACAGTCTTCACACCCTCACCCAGCCCTCAAGCTCACTGTCCAACCCCTGCCCCAGCATATATAGATATATTTCAAAATAACGGGCTCGTTTCAAAGATGCAGAATAGCTAGTCAGGGATACTGGAAGTATCCTGAAATAGCGCCGCAGTGTAGACATACCCTGGGATCCCATTCCAGAGTTTTTCCTTATGGCTTCAAGTCCATCATAGCTTTAGCTTAGAACAAGCAAACGGGTCTAAAGAAGCCTCAATAGGGCTCGTCCTTCCAACCTTTCTCTCAGGATTGGGGCCCTGTGCGGACCAGGATTCCCGTCCATGTGTTGGCTCTGGAAGAAGGTCCTGAACTTATTTTAAACCAATCTATACAACTAAATAACCTTTGTCTGCTGGCTCCTGGAGACTCCAGTTTGAACTAGTTTATGCACATCTCTCCAGCTTCAAAAGAGGATAACTGGAGACTATTAGCACCCCCTTACTCCTGGAGGAATTTTTCATCCACAGTTACAATTGTAATACAATGGACCCCAAAGGTATTAAACCTAACGCAGTGAAGTGTAACTTCACTGAAGAGAGCACTTTACCTTAAATCCAGAACGTTTGTGCAGGGGTTGCTAGTCTGCCCTAGTCCTTCAGTCAATGGGACTGCTCTCATATACTTAACGTACAGCGTGTATGTGAGTGTTTGCAGGACGGGGGCCCTTGGAAGCATGAGCCATTTCTGCAGAAGGCTTTGAAGATCAGGACAGGAGCCTTGATTATAATGTGGTGTGGTGTGGAGTGGAGAGCACACCAGGGTTGAAACATGCTCCAACCTCCTGAACATCTTCCAGGATCTGGGGTTTTGATTGGGGGCCACACACAAGGAAGCGAGGCTGCACCACACACGAGTCCTATTGGCCACAGAAAGCATACACTTAGGTACGTCTACACTAGTGTCCTGAAGTAGCTCTCCCGCATCGTCACGGCAAGCCTGCTATTTCAGGCTCACGATTACGACGTCCCTGCAACCCTCATCCTACGAGGAGTAAGGGGCGTTTCAGAATGGCACTTTGTTTCGAAATGTGGCCTTGTGTAGACAGCGCCAAATGATGAAGTAAGATACACAATTTGAGCTATGCAAATTGACTACCTTATAGCGAGACGCACCCTGACAGCCCAATCCTCAAAGGTCTTTAGGCGCCTAGTGCCCAAGGACTTCAGTAGGAGTAAGGCATCTAATTACCTCTGAGGATCTGGGCCTTAATGTTTTCAGAACTGAGACATAGGGTTTGATCCAGCTCACGTTAAAGTCAATGGCAAGACTTCAGTAGTGCAGGATTGGGCCCTAAATTATTAATTGTACTAAATAATTAGGTCCAGATTTGAGGTATTTTGATTCCTAACTTCCATTGAGATAAATGGAACCTAGCAGCCTAAATACCTTTCTGGACCGGTGCCAAAGTGACTTAGTAGCTTCACTGCATGCTTGTTTGTTAACTATAAACAAAGGCGCTGCAGAGCTCAGTTACCAACATCTAACTAACAAGACATTTTGAAAACCCATACATGGGCTCAAGCTTCAAACCCCCCACTCCCACCCCTCCACACACTTGCATTATATTTCAGATGCATCTGTACAGTTTATCACTGTCTTCATTAAATTAGTAGGTTTATAATTAATGTTGTTATTAGAACAAATGAGTTTAATGACAAATTATCTGTGATCAGCTTTGATCTGCAAAGGTTTATAATGTAGATCGTTATAGAGACATTACCGTTATGGCTGATGTGAATAACTGAAGGAAAATGAGTTCAACTACCACAGAGTTTACTTCGTTAATGTAAACTGTAGAATCCCTTAATGTTAATATTGATCTTATCTACAATAATATATGGCCTACATTTGAAAAATAACGTCAGTAAATTAACATACAGTTTCAGCTGTTCATATGTTCCTGGCTGTACTAAGATAAGACAATTAGATTCCTGTGTGAACTTAAATAATATTGATACGGATACAGAAAAGGCAATTTGCATAATAGACCCAGCTGCAGAATTGATCTTATTTAGTATTGATCCTAGTTTTCCATAAGATGCTGCCATGTATTTGAAAGATAATATCTGTAATACATTCTCATTAACACATTTCAGATGATGACATCCAGAGTGAAATATCACATCCATGCCCTTTCCATGTATTAGCTTTTAAGTCAATATTTATAATAACAGTGGTTGATTCAATAATCTTTTTAGATGTGAGGTTTTGTTTCCTGAGAGGAGGTTTTTGATGAAAATGAAATTCTCTCAAGTTGCAAGAGTGTGAATGTTGCATCGCTGAGTGACAGAATGGGCAGGTTTCCCCTCAGAAACAAAAGGGTTGACACCTAATTTCTTTCCCTTTGCTATACTTGTCAAATGAGAAGCTAAGACCAGGTTTATGCTAGTCACTCTGCCAGCATTCCAATGGCAGTTACATGTGTGATTTTTGTGTGCAATATTTCTATGTAGCAAAGCCCTATTTCCAGTGCTTACACTGGCATACAAGTGCTCTTGCTGGAATAGCTTCTTTCACTCACCCAACCAATAGGAGCCATTCCAGGAAAACTTTGTAGCGCAGCCTAGGTCTAAGGCATTTCTATCCATTTGTGAGATTCACTAGTAAAGAAAAACAATCTTGGCAGAAATTGCAAACACTGATACAGACCACTTGGAATGTTTTGGAGAAGCCTATGAACAAGTTAAAACAAAAAGACAGTACGTATTGCCCAACCCATTTCTGATAGCCCCTCAAAAGCTATCAGTTCACCCACACCACTTAAATCCCCTCTCAGCGCCCCCCACCTCTTTAACCCCTCACCTAAATCTCGAGCTCCCCTCAAATCACCTGAGTTCCCTGCCCCATCCCACCTTCACCTCCCTGACCTAACCCATCCCCTCAGAGCCCTTTGACCTCCCAGAGGTCTTACCCATCCTGTCCTCCAGACCCGCTAGGCCCCACCATTCCAATACAGTCTGCAGACATTAAACATCACAACGCTACCAGAAGGAATGTTTTATCCAACGTCTTCTGTCTCCAGACCTCTCATGAGTTCCCTGCCCCATCCCACCTTCACCTCCCTGACCTAACCCATCCCCTCAGAGCCCTTTGACCTCCCAGAGGTCTTACCCATCCTGTCCTCCAGACCCGCTAGGCCCCACCATTCCAATACAGTCTGCAGACATTAAACATCACAACGCTACCAGAAGGAATGTTTTATCCAACGTCTTCTGTCTCCAGACCTCTCAACCCCCGTGTTCCCCTGCCTCACGGCAGGACCAAGCACCATCATCCCTGAGAGATGCCTATCTAACCTGCTCTTAAATTTCTCCAGGAGATTCCACAACCTCCCTGGGCAATTTATTCCAGTGTTTCACCACCCTGACAGTTGGGAAGTTCTTCCTAATGTCCAACCTAAACCTCCCTTGCTGCAATTTAAGCCCATTTGCTTCTTGTCCTGTCCTCAGAGGTCAAGAACGATTTTTCTCCCTCCTCCTCGTAACGTGTTAGCCTGACTGCTGACATCCAGTCTGGGGAAACTAGGACCGTGCTTCTTCTACACAGTAAACCTGGCCTGGTGCTTTTGATCCTTATCTGATTCTGTGGTTTTGGGGGCGCTCTCTCAGAGCCTGCTGTGCTAGCTACTTGTGCAGACCAACACGATTCACAGAGGGGCCAACTATGCAGCTGACCGGTCAGCATCACTGTCAGGGCAGGAGGCCCGTCCGGACACCCACACTAGGGATGCCTGGCTGCCACATACACAACCAACAAGCGAGCGTGGGTCCGAGCTAGGCCACGGCATGGCAAGAACACCAAGGCCCAGGTTTTTAGAACAGTGCAGCATCCAGCTTGTCCTGTTGTCCGGCTAGGGACCTTGATGGCAGCTTAGCTTTTCTGAAAATTTGCCTAAGAGACAGGCAGCGGCCCAAGATGGATCAATGGTTGGTTTTAATCCCTAATCGTTAGCCCTGGAGTTACTTCCCCCATGAGAACAAACGTTTCTTTAGGGATATTTCATAGCCCACCGTGCCTGACTCATGCTGGCTCAGGGCTTTGTGCTGGGGGTTTTTTAACCATTGCCTAGATAAAAGTTTACAAGCAGAAGTGGGATAGGCTTTGGCACTGGGCAGGCATTTGCGCTGGCCTATAGTCTACCAGTAGATGGTGCAAGAGGAGCATCAAATGCCCTGCTTCTCTCACAATCACTATAATTTGTTCCCTCTCTAGCTTGTACGTGTCTGGAGGACACACTGTCTTAAGGCATGTCTTCACTACCTACGGGATTGACAGGCCGCGATTGACCCAGTGAGGAGGTCAATTTGTCGCTAAGCGCTCTCCCCGGGACTCCACCAAAACAAGAAGAGGAGGCGGAGTCCACAGGAGAGCATCAGCTGTCAACTTACTCAGTGCATGCTACTGTGATACAGGCCATCGAGTGCCGGCAGTGCCCCTCCACCATGGATACTGGCCAAACCCAGCAGTCTGTACGGCCAAGGGCAAATGAACACAAATCAGATATGGTAAGTGGCAACACATAAACCTGGAAGGGAACATTTTAACCTGCCTGGGCGCTCGTCCATGGTAATTAATTTAAAAGCAGCCATTGTTCTGCAAAGTCATTTCACAAGCTAACTGCAGCGAGCGAGTGTGGAATTGACCTTCGTATGCAAATGTGACCCTGTTTCCCTGGGCTTGAACAAAGACATCAACTGGGTGTCGCATTATAAATGGGGGAGGGGCACTTCAGTGATTCAGTAATGGCAGAATCCTGTGAAGAAGAGGAGTCCCCTTCTGCCCCTCCCTTCCCCCGCACACAGACCTGGATTCTTGTGTCTGATGCCCCAGCGCAAGTGAACTGCCCCCAACTGGGGGGGTGGGGCTGATCCTGTGAAACAGGCTCTCCTTTCACTGTCTGGCATGCATTGGGTTGAGCCATCGTCCGCAGCTGCTGTCTGTCCCGTTCCAGTTACGAGGAAATGCCCCAAGTGCTATGACTTGTGTTTTCTGCCTTCAGCTTCGGACTTGCCCAAGAGCTTGATGCCTGGACCTTACCCCAAGACCGCAGAGGAACGGGCAGCTGCTGCTAAGAAATACAACATGAGAGTGGAGGACTATGAGCCATATCCCGATGATGGCATGGGGTGAGCTACAGTAAGACTACTGGACCCTTGAAGAAAGGCAAGAGCAGGTAGCAGCTGGTATCTGGTTGCAGGGAGGATCTGTTTAATTTAATATTATATTTAAAACATCACTGAAGT